TAGGGAGATACTCAGAAGCCACTGAAGCAAGAAAATAATTCCCATGATTTGAGCATGTTTTGGCAAAATTAAAAAAAATGTATGCATTAAACTTCTTAAAATTTTCCCGAGCTAGAGTTCAGCAATTAAAAAAAAAGAAAATAAATAAAAATAGGGTGCTTGATCACTTACTTCCTGCATTTGGTGTAACTGGGTTTTCTCTAAGAGAAACAGCATGAGAACTGGCACCTGGAGCCACAGTGGAACGAGCAGGATGCCACAGTATGACATGCTAATAATTCAAGAACATACACTGTCATTTTTCATGCTTATCTTCAAAGAAGAATCCCCTATCAGATCTTCTGTTTTTCTGTTTTGACCTCTGTCTGGCAAACCCAAAAAGATTTGGAGGAGTTGGAAATGAAGCTGAGTTTTGTGGACCAGCACTTAAATGCTTGGTGGTTAACGTGCTCAGTGTCCACTTGTAGAGCCATTCTGGCCCACGCATTGCAAACAGTCTACTTCTATGACACCCAAAATTTGTGATTCAACTTAAGTTCAGCAAGTAAACTTTTGTCAAAGTAGACATGCTAAGGACTTCAAGATTTTTAGATTGCTCTTTAAAAGCCTATGAAATACCAGAACAAGTTAGGTCCATATTTTAATCTCTTACTAGTATATGAAGAAATCTGAATTCCATTTTATAGTAACCTTTTTTCTTTAATCTGAAGAATTTGTCTATTTTTTAAACAATTATGATGTCTTATTCTTACATTTAAGGAAGAAACAGATCCAAAAAGCCTAGTGTCCCTTGGTGTCCTTACCCTCTTCTGAAAATTTCTGTATGTGGCAGCTGAGAGGGCAACACAGCACGTTTTGATATAGACTGGAGATTTGTGCCACTGAAAGATGGCACCGTAGTGCCAAGTATGATCTCATCTCTTCTGTCACACACCAATCGACATTACTGATATTTTATATATCCTCAGTGTCTCAAGTGAAGGTGATATGTTCATGAACGTAATAAAAATAAAGAGCATTCATCCTATATAGATTTTCCCTGAAAGAGTTGGGATGAAGGACAGTAAAGAGAATTCTCTCTCGCTTACCAGTCTGAACCGTCTGAGCAATGTAATTTCTAGCCACAACACCTAATACAGCCTTGTTTAATATACAGTCCTTTCTATTATGTTTCATGCTGTACCATCCCTAATAGACCACTAAGTCATGCCAGGCTGATTTATGTTGGGAAAACTTCCCAGTTCGGAATGAAATGCATCAGAGTCACATTGCACTTAAATATGAATAGACTATATTTAATTAATGAGAAATTTGGAAAATTCCTAGCAGGTGTCTTATCTGTTTGTCTCTTCTTCAACATGGTACAGAAGTTAAGATTTTGTAACTTGGTCTCCCTTCACTTCCTTAGTTAATTCCAAATACTTGATTTTTATCCAGGTGGCAAAACTGTCCAGCTTTTTGCTGCAAGTCACTTTTTTCTGGGAAGATGAGTTATAGCATTTGACAACAAACTGAGTAAACTTGACTTACTGCAAAGCAACTGAAATGCAAAGAACTGACTTTTCACTCGGACTTAGTTGAAATCAATTTGCAAACTGAGTAGCACTCTGGCATCTGAATGATTTTTTGAATGATTATTAAAAAAGTAACTGGGACATCAGACAGATCTTCATAGATCTTCTATTTGAAGGTCTTCTGTCTCAAAGCAGTATGTAACTGCTTCTAAAATGAGTGTCATTGTCAATGGGAACATATGAAACTTTTGGGCTCTTCCCAACTATTGTTCTTTTAGCAGTTACTCTCCTGCCCAGCTGCCATAAGAAAGACAGCAGAATGCAAAAGTGAGAATATTCATCTGGAAAAATCCATCTAACGAGTGAATTAACTCCAGAAAAAGGTCTAAATAGAGATAATATCTTGTTTCCTAAACCCATCTGTTGCGAATCCTGTCAGAAATCTTTTCAAAAGGTTATAAATAAGAGAACATCTATTTTAGAAACGGGCAACGCATTTATTCCTAGCAGCAAATTCAGCCATGATGAATAATCTGGCATAGAGCTGTTAAATTCACCAGCTGCCATCCACCTCGAGCAGAACCATACCTCATTTTATCTATGTAGTATATACCATTTGTTAATAGCTGCTTGAACCAAAGATGGCCACTGGCAACCCCACTCCTGAATTTTCACTCAGGCTGAAATTTAAATAAAAATAACAGAAAAGAAATATTTGAAACAGACAAAAACTCACCAGAAAACAAAAATTATTTCATTTGCAGCAAGGATTACAATCCTGCAACATTAAAAATGTGTTTCTCTGTTGTTCAGTGACAAGACATTGGAAAAAAAAGAATTGTTTGGTCTTGTTTAAAGCACAATAAAGACAAAACATGTCTGCTTTGAATTAGAGACAGTGATGAAAGGTAGAAGTACCTAGATAATTCTCTGGTGTCACGAAAGAATATAAACTTTTAAATGGCTCCCCTACACTTTAACATATACATAAATATATAAATATACTTCTGTTAAAATGTCAATCTCCTAGAGGGCTGTGAGCTTAATAACATTAAGTAGTGTTTGCTTTAGCTTCCTTTCGGCAAGGAGAGGTATTTTTGCTCTGCCTTCCAGTTAACTTCCTGAATAAAAAAATGCTACAAATGTTATTCGACTCACCATGCTTGTCAAATGACAATTTTAACAGAGGATCACTTGGGTTTCTTAGTAGAGAGGGAAGCTACTTTGGTTTGCCTTACCAGGCTTTAAATTTGAAAAAAAACCAGGTTAGGTAGCTGCATGCTTTGCCTGTTCTAGAGTGGAACAGAGCTATGAACTGTAGAAATCAGCTCGATTTCAGGTACTTAAGCACAAATGTCAATAAAGGTAGACACTATCATTGTCTGGAGGTACAGGATCTCATAAAAGTGATTGACATACAATGATCTGCTTCTACACAGCAATCACGACATACACACTTGTATGGGAGTCATATATACGTCAAATATCTTTGGGGTTGGACTTAGTTACTCAACAATCTTTTCACAAGTCACAAAGATAATTTGGAAATTAAATAATTTGATAAAGACCATGTGCCCATGCGATAATTATTTTCAGATCAACCACTGTAATTTTAGTTTCCTGAATAAATGATGTAAAAGAAGAATGTTCTCTTGCAATAAAATAAAATAGCCTAGGCAGGGAATATGTGAAATTGAGCTCAGCATGATCACACAAAGGGATCATATACCTGGACATAAAGTAAATGGAGACCAAGAGCTGCTGAATAAGCTTTGGAGATGGAATCAGGGATGACTCAATGGCCTGAAAAGCCTTAAAAAAGAATCAGTGCTCTGAAATGAGACACCATCAACACTGCTGAAACCTATCATTTTCTTACGAATCTCCAGTCATCTGTTTTATATGGCTTTCACACAGCCTGAAACGGTCTCTACTTTGTGATTTTTTCTCTTGCCTTTTTTTTTAAGAGTCAGCAAAGTGAGAAAAATACCTAGAAGTAAAATAGTTTTAATCCTATGGCATTTCTTAGTACATGAAGAAGCAGCATCCCCTGACATGAAAGATTTATCTTAAAAGCACACTAAATTCATGCTGCACTTTCTAAGAAATGGAAAAATTTCTTGCAAGTTTACTCCATTTTTACACTATTACAACTCTTGGGAATTAATTTCTTAAGAACCAGCATAATGCCAAAGTAATACAGTAGTGATTTGGATTTAAAGCTTGCTATCAAAATCCCAAATGGAGAAGAGTGAATTTCTATTCTGTACAGGGAATTCTCCAGGCTTGGATAAGCCATGTTGTGACTGTGGAGGTATTTGGCTTGGCTCTATATTTACTAGTTCAAGGAAGCTAATAAGATGGGATCACCTTAGTTCTGGAAAAAGAGGCCTAACCTGGATTTTATCTTTTAATTATTTTAACCTTTCTTCCTCCAAACTCGGAACAGTGAAGAGCTGAGATGACTTCAAACTCACAGACTTTAGTCAAACACATATCTAGCAAAAGTTTTGACTAAATAAATAAAGACCAACCCGCTCAGCAATCTCCATAAACAGCAGTACTAACTTTTTACACTAATCCAAAAAAATTGGAGTAACCATATTATTTGAAAAGACACATCTAAACACAAACTACAAAAATCAGAGGAGCAGTGCAACTCATTAAACTAAATCCATACAGGCACAGAGTAACCATCCATGAAAGAAAATTAAATAGTATGTTCAGGATATTTCTGAACACCAAAAGTGAATTTCAGCTACTGACAGTTGCAAAATTTCCATTATGCTTAGCTGTATTTTTTGTACATTTTCAGAATTTCAAAGGCATAGGAAAATTTTCAGTGTGGGAATAAAAAATTCAGAGATTGTCTTCCTCAGGACTTGCTTTTCAAAACAGTCTGCATCCTATACAGTGCATTTCAAACTGCACTCCAAGATGACCCAAAGGCAAAAATCAGTGATGAACTTTTTTAAGAAGCACGAAAATCTGCTCCATCCCCTCTCTGATTTCAGGACCACTTCATTTCAGAGCTCTTTGAAAGACACAAGGAAGACGGGACATGCAAAGCCTGTGCTATTACTGCTGTGCAATAAAAGCAGGATGAGCTGATCGTTTAGGGCCTGGTAGAAGCTCAGCAAAGTCAATACAATCCTTTCTCTTGATTTCAATGGCTTTTATACCAGGCCCATAAACAGACCATTAAAAACATCTAAATGAGTGATTTTTGCTCAGTATCACCACACCCACCCCCGTTTCTCTGATTGGCACTTGCTGGTGATTTGGCAAAATGAGTTTATACACGACACAGCAGAAAATACAAAGTTCAGAAACAGCACTTTGTCAGTCAAAATCACTTGCCTGGTGTTAGACAGTAACGACTATTAAGCGCTGGCTGCTCGTTTCAGCCAGTTAAATGCTGCTGCAAATGAAAGATGAAGCATTGCATGAAGCCATGCTAAAATGGATAGAAGGATGGTTACTTACCAACGGGGCGAGCTGTTGACATTACAATGGTGTAGTGAGAACATAAAAAAGAAATTAAAAAAAGAAAAGAATATCTGTCAGAATGCATGACGTGTAATGTTACCTTCCACTATGGATACTACCATGATTGCTAACCCCTCAAATGACAGCCTGAGTAAAATGTTTACTGTTGTTATCGCTCAGTCACGTGCCACTATTATCCCATTTACTTGAGCATAGCATCTGAACAAGCTGACTGGAACCATTCTCTGAGAAACATTTTTATTATCTTCGCATGCCATCATCAAGTATCATTGTTAATGCCTGATAAAAGAAAAATTGTATTGCATTAGCACAAACTTTTAGATCCCGATGAACACATCAATTTAAGCCGCACACTGCAGAATGTCATGCCAGTAGATGCAAGGCCTTTGCTTTCTGAGTCAAACACCAATTGAATTTTAAGCATGACCAGTCAGTACAGCAGTAAGGGCTACAGAAAGCCCAGGACAGTTTTTCTCATTCAATAAGGACATGAAAGCTTACAGCGCAGGTTCTTTTTTTCCTCACTGACACTGCTGATGAAAATATAACAAATAGGCTGAAATGGCCACAGGGACTTCAACCCAGAACCTCCCAAATCACTCCTTAGGTAACTTCTATTTCCTAAAAAAATTGCTGCTGAATGATCGACAGGTTAATACTGTTTCAGGTTCATATCAAGATTGAAAGTTGCTGCTGCAACAAGTGATTTCTTGATTATAGCGACAGCCCTTCATTATACTTGTGCTAGGGAAGAGGGCTGCCAGTCCCCCTGTTAATAAAATATAGACATCCCTTTCAGAAGAGCTGAAAAGTTGTATATAAAATTGACCCCAGGTTGCATCTGTGTAGGCAAAGCTTCCCTTGTTTCAGCAGCAGAAATACTTACACACTGCTGAGCAACAGCACAATTTTTTTCTTTTTTTTTTCTCTTTTTAAGAAGATTACCAAGTCTGTGTGCTTATGTGCAGGCTAGGGTCAAACATAAGACATGCAGATTCAGAGGTAAGAGAGCATGCAAGGACCTTCTTAGTTCTCAGTCTTTCCATGGCTCTATCCCTACTTTGGAATACCCACTTCATTTAACTGTTTCAAGCCTGCTGCCCTTTCTCACCCGTCATCTATTGGGACACTTTTTGGCTTTTAGAATTATGAACGTATTCCTTCTTCTGCAGAAAGACGAGGCGTAAGTGATTTGCATCTTTCCAAGGGAGGGCCTGAAGTCTGAGTCACAGACCTCAGATTCTGGTGTTTGTGACAGTGTAATTCAGCCTTCCTGACTGGGAGCTGAGGATTGCACTGCTGTCAGGTTGCCATATGCAACCATTTGGCACCCGCAAGGACCAAGGCACCCTTAAGATAAATTTTGAAATGCTAAGTGGTTTTGCTCCTCTGCGTGACAAGTGGTTACAGTAAAACTAGTGTCAGATAAAACTGTTAAAAGTTGAAGAATTCAGAATTAAGACTTTCTTTAATTAAAAAGACCATTGCTCATGGTCCCCTTAAAGTCAATGGGAGTTTTCCTAGTCCTTTGTTTTCAGAAAATTCAGAGTAACAGACTTCTCTGATGAATTTCTTCACTTTTCTCATTTTCTGCCATATCCTGAACATTTAGTAAGCTTATAATATAATGGCTTCCTTAGAGTTGGATAAACATTATGTATTTGACCAAAAATGACAAACCCAGGAGGAAAAATACACAAGACAATAAAAATCTGCTTTTTTGTGGGAAAATCAATTACATTATGTATTTCCTCGAGTTTTTTTCTGTTGTTTCACTTTTCATCGTGTTCAAGCTTGGGTGATTTCAAAGGATTTTTTGTCTTGGTTCTAACTATTGTTTATATCACAAGTCTGGGTAGCAAATATGAAAGGCTTGCTCCAGTAATGTACACAGTGGACACAGTTCCAGGAGTGTTTAAAGGCTAGTGAATTGGTTACCAGATTTATGGGATACTGTGCTCCTGCCTGTGACAAAGGAACAGGGTGAGACTATTTCTGGGAGTTTGCTGTGGTGACTGTTTTTCTCATGTCACAATACAGAAGAACAATCTCTTACATAAGCATGTAGCAGGTAAACCTATTTCTTCAGCTTAAAACAGGAAGAGCTGCATTGTCACCATGGTCTAAAGTGAACACTGAGGTAGTATTTCAGCAGATGGATTATCACAATGCTCTCTTTTCTTTGTTACATACTAAGATCTCTCCCCTTCAAAGCCACTCGGAGCTTTTTTTTTTTTGTCCCTTTGAATTCAGCAAATTAAACTGAACTGTGTCCATGCATTAAATGGATGGAAATGGAAGCTGGCCTCTTGGGTCAGTTGACCCTAGTTCTAATAAAGCAATCCATTGAGACTTTGAACATTTGATTTAATGTGTATGAAAAGAGGAGGACAGATAAAGCTAAAAATGTTTTTATTAACCTTTCACAGCTCTACTGAAAACCGTCAGCATGCACCACTAAACTGTGAAATAGTGTCTGCATGATATCCATTGTGCCAAATTGCTGCTTATCTTTTGGAATGTAGTAATGACTATTATATTCTGTTTACTCATATGGAAATATTAGCCTACAAACTTTTTCTCTCCCCTTAATCTTTAGCATGTCTATATCTACTGTCACAAAAGATATTTTGTCAACTCATTATTCTACCAGCCTTAAAGCCTCCTTACCAAATCAAACAGCAGCACATAAACAGACTGGGTACTATAGACCACAAATATTTTAGGAGAGAATATGTTAGTCTTTACCTTGCAATACTTACAAAATTTAATTAGGATTTTCTCTTTCCTTTGGCTATGGTTTATCTTGCAGATAAAGGGTAATGGTAGAGAGTTTAATTATTGCAGAGCTAATCACATAATAATATTAGCTGCATTATGTTTGTCATTGATATAGTTACAATACTCCTTGTACCTCTTAGAGAAAGAAACGTGAATAATGGCCTAAACTGATGGCTCACATATGCCCACGGTTATGTAGTGCTTGCTTAAGCATATATATGTATATGTTCTTCAATAAAAACACAGTTCTTTAACTGCAGGGAGATCCTATCCTATTGAAGTCAATTAAAATTTTACCTGAGATATCACCAGGACCAGGATTTCACCAGTGATGTAAATCACTGCCGTGCACCCACAACTGCCCAAGGGTACGTGAAACCCAAACAATGCCGGGGGAGAATGTGGCCCATTCCATCAGAAAGCAATTTATCCATACAGGACACACTCACCTCGCACAGTGAGGGTAGCAGAGGCTTCCACTTTTCCAACTCTGTTCTCAGCAATGCAAGTGTAGGTTCCCTCATCCGTGCTCGTGGCTTTCTTGATGCGCAGAGTGTAGTCGTCTTTGATGTCATACCTGTGGGACAGGAAAAGGATGAAAACTCGTTTTGTGGACAAGAGAGAGGAACAAAAACTACCACCTGGATTACGCCACTCTGAATCTATCTTGGAGCCAACTTTGGAAGATAAATTATTATCTGGCATTAGATAATTCCGACAAGCATTAATCTTCGTGACATTTTTACTGCGCTCTGCATTAGTTAGAAACTTTACATAAAATTAGTATTGCTACGTTCACTCAGTATTAGGGCTTTATTAATAATATCATTCACTTTGTCCTTGATCTAGAGCAATAAGATAAAATTAGGCTATCAGACATCAGTTATCAATACATGACAGCTCAGGTTTATCATGCCTTTAAACTGTGTGAGCTACACATTTTACCTTTTGCTGATTTGGAAATTTCCCTTTATGTACAGTTTTTCCCTACAGCAGCAATCCCTTAGGGAACCATGAGCATGTTGGTAGGATCTCACACTACCCGATTGCAGACAATAAAAAATATATTCAAGCTCTGGAATGTGACATTTATTGAAGAGGCACATTAAAGCAGATTTATCAATTTCACAGAAATACCCCAAAATGATTCATTAAGGGTGGACAATAACATTTTCTCTTTCTTGAAACACATTAGAAACAATTCAATTATGCTTTTTCCATTTCTTTGTTTCTCTTGCTGAAATAATTCTAAAACTATAAGGATGTATAAAATGTGAATTAATACAAAGTATCCCAACATGCAGAGAACATTCATTCTCGAGGCATTTAAAGTGCTTATATCCAGAAAAATATTTTCAGTCAAATTGTTATTATCCTGCAGAAGTCATGCTTAACAAACTATTTTAGGCTCTCATCCAAAGCTCATTAAAGTCAATGGGAGACTTCATCTTTTATGAAATGCATTTGGTGGTCCCCAAATCAGGAAAACACTGAATTCCAGTATGGATATTTTAATCTTGAAATACTCTCTTGTAAAATTATTTTCAACAACATTTCTTCTTCACATAGTAAGCCTACGATAAATTAAGTCATCTTGAACCTGAAGTTGGCTTCAGATTCTCATTTACCAAACAGTGAAACAGGAACATGAAACTAAAGAAAGATCAAGACTTCAGGAGATGCCAGTACTATTTCTCACTGCATTCACAATCATGACATAACTTCAGAAGGACTGATTTACCTTCTCTTTGCTATACAGTAAAGAACTTACAGACTTGTTCATTTGGAAGAGCACCTTTAAAAGTTTTGATGAATAAGAATGCAATGCAGTTACTTAGAGGAAGGTTGTCAGGCTCTGTAAGCATTTTTAAATGCTTTGGGAACATGAAACATAATTTTTTTTGTACATAATATAGATTGCTATTGGTTTCTTTAATATAGATTTCTAGAGAGAACACTGAATGCTAACAGACTTTAAAACATCTTAACTCAAAGGGTCTTATATGTTGAAGCATTTAAGAGTTCTGTTAGGTCTAGTTAGATATCAATTACAACATTATTGCCAAGACATCTTTTCACACTCACTACAATACAATTTCGTTCTGTATTCAGTAAGTCCATTCTATAAATTAATAAGAAATAATTTTAAAAAGACCAAATTGAGGTTAACCATTCTGTCAGAGTTAACATAACCACATACAAAACCCGTTTTCCTAGGAGTTACACTTAACTGTATGTACATGCAGTACCTCAGGTTTAAGTAATGAATAAGAGATGTGTCAAGGGGAAGAATAAGGAGATGCCATGGCAAACTTCAGCAACTTGTAGGGATATGTCTTTTGTCAGTATAATGCCTTTGGGTGGGGGGGAAGTTATGATGCTAGAAATACTTAACATGCCGTTTCTGGAGCACTACAGATCTATTGCAACTACATTCAACAGCCACATGCAGTTGAGGAACATTTCTCCTTGACTGCTCACAAATTATGTCATTTTTGCATGCTGTGCTGCATTAGTCAATGGCAAACAGAAATCACTGTTTACATAAGAGAGAAAATGCAAATTTTCCCCCCTTGAAAATCTCAAGGATGTGACAACAGTATCCCACACTGATGGAGCAGTTACTTGTCCTTGGTGACCGCAGAGTTGCAGACAAGAGAAAATGCTTATTTTCTTGACATGAGGCCAGCCCTAGGAGTCTAAAAATATAAATTTGTATTCAGCTCGTGTAAGATGAGAAAACTAAGATCAGTTGTAATATAAATATGAATTGGATATAGGAATCAGAGTTATAAAGCTGGGCAACAATTAGTCATTGATTTTTTTTATTTTTTTTTTTAATAGGACAAATAACATCCCTGTGGTTCCCTTAGTGCTGCCAAGAGAAAAACAGAGAGGCAGCAGGACTGCATCTGACTGAGGGGCTGCTTGAACTGGGATGCAGGAGGCCTGGGACAGGGCCCTCCAGTCTGCTGTGGGCTGCAGCTGACTCGCTCCTCTCCCCGATGTGCCGGTGACGGCATGCCAGCCAGCTGCCTTGCAGGCTCGGGCAGCCTTTATGCCTGCACCTGCCAATCATGCAAATTGTGCAAAGGCTGCTGGGGGAAGGAGCCAGCTGCATGGCATGCCAGGACGCAGAGCAAGGGTGCAGCCATCATCTCCCACGCGGGCCGTGAAACGGAGGGTGGCGTAAACATGTCGCTCTCACGGTCCAGTTATCAATTAATTCAAGGACAGATTCAGCTCTCCCAGTCCGCTTCTCCTACAAGGCCAAACTGGGTTTTTGGACCATCCTGACAGAATGTGCCATCCAGCAATTAGATTCATACATAGATGGGCCCATGGGACATTATAACCATCTGCTGTCCTGAAGTATTGATACGCTGCCCCTCAGTCATCTGTTCCCCCCCGCACTGTCCCCAGAAGTCACCAGGGTTCAGTGAAGAGCTCTGACAGATGAAGCAGGTAGGAAGAAAACTGGCTTTTAGACTGATCCACAGCAGCACAAGAAGTTTATGCAAGAAAGGGACCATGAAGTAACAAGGAGTGAAGACTGAATATGTGTTCAGGATCCACCTGTGCAGCCTTGAACAGTGTGTCCTCCCCTCTCTGTTCCACAGCCTCGTATTCCCACAGGGAGGCGTTTTCGCCCGAGTTTTTGTGGAAGTTCACTCTCACCTGGATTAGTGCTATTGAACACTGGGGAATCAGGATTAGGGCCTTTCTCTTTGCTACTACCAATCACAGAGGGAGGTTACCAGGCTCCTGGACTGACCATGGAATGGCAGGAAACCAGAGCGTAGTGGTTAAATTGTTCCTCAGTGTAGCCAGCGCACTCAGAAGGCAATGCCTTCAAAATATGTGCAGTGTCAAGAAACAACTTGTGACATATTGCCCAAATATTGCTGACTCCCAGCCAATTAATGCTAACATTCAGCTGAAACCATGGGGTGTCAGACATCAGCTTCACATATTTATGGCCATCTAATTGATTTTAAGTACTTCTCTTTGTTAAACATTCAGAGGTGCTTCACCATTCAGTTTAGCTTAGACTTCAGCCATCAGACTGAGCTGGGAAAGGTCTTTTAAACAGCCAGTCAGCCTGTGTCAGATATGAACCAGCCACTTTTGGGCACCACGTTAAATAATTTCTGTTCTACAAGTAATAGAGCAGATCTGCCTTTAATTACCCGAGAAGGAAGGGGCTGGCAGGGGACTGGCAAGGAAGAAAGAAAGAGAGAAACAAGAGGCAGATGAGAAAACACTGCTGGTGAGGAAATTCTAATAGAAATTGGGTGATTTTGAGTGAAATCTGGCAGTCTCTGGCACATATGAATGCATTCATTGTTGCTAGTTTTGATTAATGACAGTTGTACAATAGTGTGCTGACAGTCACTGCCATACAGACACAATTTTTTTTGATATGAAACACTGCTGAAAATGCAACCCAATCAGATTTGGCCCCTGAACAACATGTGCTATCATCACTGTACCGTGAATTGAGATTGATTGGTAACCAGCTGTGACAAAGTGGGAAAAAGAGCCTTGTCTTTTTCAAGAAAAGAAAAGAAGAAAAATAAAAAACTGAATTGTGTCAAAACCATTACCATCTGCTCAACTAAATAACAAATAAAACAAAACACATTGACTGTTTTTAACTATACAAATTAATGTACTGAGGTTGAATTAATGTATTGACTTAAGTATCTAAGAATAAACTTGAATTGAACTGGTTTTGTCACAGTTATAATTCTTCCCCCCCCCATTCAAAAGTGTATCTGTTCATACTCAGCCACCAATCTTCCATGGTCATCAAATCAAAAAATAGTAGAAAAAAAATTACTGAACTTAAAGAGAGATTTAGCAACATGCTTTTTTTAAATACAGTTTCAGAGTGTTTCAGAGAACCTCTAGTTTCCAGATTTTCAAAAATGTGCAAGCAGCTGTTCATAAAAATATATGCATTTCTTTTGTCTTTAACGTGCAGAGGTAGTGAAAATATGTCTCCAGTTGGAGTAATTACATTCCTAAATGTCCAAGTAGGCCTAACTGTTAATACAAGGATGTACTTGCTTTAGCAGTGTATTTTAAACTTCACAAAATTCATCACTAAATTCAACAACATCCAACTCAGAAAGTCTTATTTCTCGCTAAAGGGAGCTTGCAAGAGGAAAAAGTCACATCTTAACTATTGCAAATAATGTCGCTGGCCCCAAAAAATTTAAATCTGTTTATACCGGGCATCTATTTACTTCTGAAGCATTACTGTAAATAAAATAAAATAAAATAAAATAAAATAAATAAAATATTCGAATCTTTGTATGTATGCTTTGTAGGGTTTTCTTTCTTTTTTTTTTTTTTTTTAGAGATGGCACAAAAATGACTTTGCTCTATTTCCTTTTGCCCGTTTGCCAGACTATTTTGCAAAACACGCACAAAGCTTCAAGATTACTCACAACATGGATGATTAGGGAGCCCAAATAGAGAGATGCTACTGGCCAAAACCAGAGTAAACAGGAGGTAGTTAAGGAGGCTTAAGCTTCTGTCTCCACTTCTCTTTTGTGGTGCTGGCACTTC